TTTGTGTAACGAAAGGTACAACTAGTTGTTCCGGTTTGCGAAATCTACCCAGAGCATCGTATAGTTTTAATTGCTTGTTCCTATATATCAACAAGACAAGACAGCGACAGGGCTACTCCTTGCAATTGTCGAGGATTTTAACAAGGATGAGACCCCAAAGCGGTTCGGACTTCTGTCCATTCGCGCTCTCGACTTAGCTCGGCGACTAAATGACTCAACACTCGTTCCATCCTTTGCTTGTTCGCCTTTCTGAAACCATGTTTTGCAGCGAACTTATGACAGTACCATGCTGCTCCTTTAAAAATTCGATAATAACATTATTTTCATACCCTTGATGAAAGTAATCTTCTTTAATCCTACGCAGATCGCTTTCGTCCATAACCAAAAACGAGTTCCAGTTCATGCTGTTTTTGTGGGAAACTAAGAACTGTTACCCTGTCTTCCTTGGCGTTGCGTTCCAATTTTTTTTGTTTGCGTTGCATATTTTATTTGCTGCAGTATTTTTTGTTTGCGTAGCAGTTTTTTATTTGCTGCGGTCCTTTTTTGCTTTGCGTTTTGATTTTTTTTATTTGCTGCAGTATATTTTTTGTTTGCGTTGAGCCTTATGGGCCACCGTAGAATGATGCTCTGCCACTGAGAACATAAAATGTGTAGGCAACTTGGCCGAAATTAAGGCCATTTGTGACAAGTAAATAAAAACTTGTCATTTGTTTTGTCACCAGGCCAAAACTGGGATACAATGTTAGTCCCCACAAGCTAGGGGTTTGACGCCTGAAACTTCTGATTTCACTATCGGATTCTCTACGATTGAATTAATTACAATGTATAGGTTTGATTTTGAGTGCAATTTGGTGTTAATAAACTCAAGTAAGTTTTTCAAAGAGAACAGAATTGCACAAGCCCATAAAGCAAGATTACTGCTATTTGTAAAAATTAGCAAGTGGTTATTTTCACCAAATTACACAAGAAATCATCTTGTTACTTGTTAATAACTCGCAAAAAAAAAGCATCACACAAAGTCAAGAGAGACAAACACATTGCAAATAATCTTTCGTTGGAATGTTAGAAATCATCACGCCCAAGATACAAACTGCCTTGGGTAAATACCAACATTAAAAGGGAAATGCGCAAGAAAGACTGAATGCACAAAAGAGCTATTCGCTCTAAAAACAAACAGCATTAATTGGGAAGCCCTTAAGCGTCAACGGAATTTGGTTTCTTAGCTCATCAAAGAATATCCCACAACAATTATCTAAATGATGTTATTGGCAACAGTTTATCTGAAAACCCCAGAGAGTTCTGGTCCTATGTGAGGAATAGCAAGTCAGAGAATATTGGTATCCCTGTGACCCCTAAAAAATGATAGTTCATCAATATCTGTATCAGACAAAGACAAAGCTGAATCTCTCAATGCATGCTTACTTTTATTCTGTTTACACCCAAGCGCAGCTGCCGACACCTAATATTGGAACATCGCCATTCTCTTCCATTCCAAACTTACATCTCTCAGCAGATGGTGTTCGTAAGCAATTATCTCAACTGAATCCCAGGAAGGCATGTGGACCGGATGAAATTCCAGCAAAAGTACTATAGGAACTTTCTGAATCAATATCTCACTGGCTAGCATTTATTTTTCAGTAGTCACATGAATGCAATGAAATTCCATCTGATTGGTCAAATGCCTTGGTGACAGCAGTTTTTAAGAAGGGTAATAAATCAGAACCTGCCAGCTACCGCCCCATTTCGTTAACTTCAATCTGTTGCAAGATAATGGAACACATTATTTTCAGTCACATGGCGAAACATCTGTCCTCGCATAATATCCTCATCCACCATCAACATGGATTTAGGGAAAATTTTCCTGGCCTCCAATTGATACTGGAGAAAACAAAATCTGTCCATCGTATGACGCAAGAGTAACTAAAGTACTACTTAAAAAAAGTATGGAGCGCTGTCGTGTTCAACCATGGTCATTTGGTCAGGAGGGCGAAAAGGAGCACAAGCTGAAGAAACCGATGGGTGTCGCTACAAACTCCAGCAGAGAATTCATTGTCGGGGAATACGAGGATGGTTGTGTGAAGGTGTCTGACAGCAGCGGAAAGTTTGTGAAATATAATCAGTCTGCCTAACCATGATGTAGATACAAATTTATATATTAATGATGTAGCCACAGACACGAACGACAACATCTTTTTGCTGACCAAACTGAAGAAGCCTGGGACTATGAGCTCTTTGTGGATTTATAAACTTACTAAAACCGGTGACCTTTATCATACGTTTCGTCTGAGGGGAGAGGGCTGGTACACAAGACTGTCAGGGAAGGACACGGGAGAAGTACTGACAGTACTAAGGGAGGAGGTGGAGGAGTATGACACGAATGGAAAGTTTGGTCGCAGTTTTGGCAAAGGAATATTGAAGGATGCGTGGGCAGTCACTGTCGCTACTGATGGCCGTGTTATGGTAATGGACGATGGTAATTCCTGTGTTCACATGTTCAGTGAACACGGTGACCATCTTAACAAATGTAAACTGCAAAGAAATGACTGTAACTACACGAGCATTACATTTTACCGAACAGGTGAACATGTCGTCATCGCTCGTGCTAGAGAAGGGAAAGATCTCCTGCAGGTTGAGATATACAGCAAAGATGGCGAGTTTGTGCGTAGTGTAGAAATCCAAGTTGATGGGATCCAATGGTTAAATAGGATTACAGAGACTATACTGAGGGACGCATTGCTGCTATTGTACGAACTAAAAAAAGTCATCAGGTATTAGTTTTTTAAACTGCTCTTTTTGATGTTTTCCTGTTGTTGGGAATGTGTAGGGACTTTTAGGGCAAGTATCACAATTCTTGGCTCTTATTCGCTGCTTAGCTACAACAGAGTTAATAGAGGGAAATAGTGCAACAGAAATTTCTTGTGACCACCCCCTACCATTCAATCAAAGAAATGGTTGTTCCCTCTATTAACTCTGGCTACAATCAGCGTCAAGATTAGTTTACACGTGATGTTTGAGAAGAGTTATGTGGAGAAAAACAGTCCTGTTTCTACCGCACTCTAAATCATTAACAGACCCCTCCCCCACTCAGTGTTTGCTAAACGTTCATGGAGTCACGATATACCATCTCCTTTTGTAGGTTCATTGATTGGTTTTATAAAAGTAGTTGAAATAATTTCTTTTCTTATTATTATTATTGTTTTCTTGATGGTGATGGTATGGTAAGACTGAATCTACAAA